ATGGAAGAACGTAAAGCGATGCCAAAAAATGTCTTCTTCGACATAACTACATATTAATAATCATAAAAAAATATCTAAACATTTTAATAACTGATATTCTTGACGCGTAAATTATATAATATTAATTAATGCATTTTTCTAGACGTACGTTCAACTGTGTGTATATATGTATATATATGTTATGCATATGCAAATTTCCTTTTATACTACGAAATAAGCAATTATTATGTTTTATATCAAATTAAAATATGAAGCTATATTTTTAGAAAAATAAACAAATAAATGTCAGTTTATTATTCTAAAAACATTAAAATCTTGAATAACATATACCAGTAACTATGCAATAATCTTTCAAATAATAAACATCTAATAATTTATCATATATTGTAAGATTACCTGTAAAGAGGTATCCCGGCGCTATCTCTAAACCAGAGTACCATATTAACGGAATCTGTAGGAGTCGGAGGTGTTATGTCACATGGTAATTCGACGTCATCTCCCTCGTTGGCCCATATCAATTTGACAGGTACTGTTAAGCAAAGAAAATAATATTATGATATTATTTACAATGAGAAAATGAGATATATATTGTAGTAGAAGGTATCACTAGAGGCAAGAAGTCGCTTGTCAATGGCATACCAAAGTGTACATTAACACCAAATTCTCACGCACGTGTTCCCAACGACGTCAAGGATCATGGCGGTTTATCGTTTCTATTTCCTCCGCGTATCGTGCTTCATAACATCTTCGCGAATCTAAGTTTAAATCGCGCTCGTGCGATATGCGAGTCAGAGAATCGTGCATCGAACCCAGATTCGTCATTCCACTCTTGAAAGGAACCCTCTTACCTGAGAGATCTACTCGAATATAAATTGTCTTAATAAAGATTTTACGAATTTCCTTTGTAGTGATAACTATGTAAATAAACCCAATTTCTAGAGATAAGTTTTAATCTCGTAAAAAGTGCAACATAAACAGATACAATCTGGAAAAGTTAGCAAACTTCTGAAATAATAAGACCATTGATCGTCCGATGACAAAAGAATCAGAATGAAACAGTTGAGGAGGAAAAAAAAAGGACAGCATTCGTTTCTAACCTTTCAGTGTTCTTAAGAAAGATCTCTTCACAGTTGTAGGATCTCAATTTGACTTCTCAATGTTAAATATTCATCTGCATAAGATTTTCGTTCTTCGTACATAAAAATAAGCACTAAATAAATATCGCGTAAGATAAAAAGAATGAATAAAATTTGGCAAGCGTTTACTTCGATAAATTGGAGAGAAAGGATATATTTGCTTAGTTTTTGGCAAGAATATACGCAACATCCTTTTCTACATTTAATCCGAATGAACACATTTTTTTTCAGCAACAGCAAAAGTAGAAAAATTATATCGGCTTATAAATCGTCTATGCTCGAGAACAACGTTTCAAATTTACTCACTCGTTTGAAGATCAAGAATTATAAAAATGTCCGGTTAT